AAAAAAAAAAAAAAGACCGCTAACAGACTGGTGCCATGTCCCTCCAGCCTTGTCTCACAGCCTTCCCTCCGCCTGAACTCCCAAGTCTCATCTAGCCAGACTGAGCCTCTCACTGTCCCCTTAACTATATACTCTTTGTACCCTGGAATGGTCTCCTTGGCCCTTGGCAAACTCCTAAGTGCTATTCAAAACCCATTGCAAATGTTACCACTACAGCGCATGGTTATGCCCTCCTGTGCTCCCATAGCACCGATGCTCCTCTGTAGAGAACGTATCAAGCTGAATCTGAACCTCCCTTTATCTGTCCATTCATAGGTCTACCTCCCCCAACACCAACAACTGTGTGCCCGGCATACAGTAGGTGCTCAATAAATGCTGAATGAAGAGTCCTAGACAGCGGTATCCAGAAAAAAGTCAGAGACACAGCCTCCTTACTAGCTGTGTGACCTCAGGCGTGGGTAGGAATCCCTCGAGAGCTCCTACACATCACAGGCTGTCATGAGCATTCAGAGAAAGAACACATTCAAAGCATTCAGCACAGTGTCTGGCACATAACATGTGGCATCTGTCATTATATGATTACACCCCTGGGCTGATGTCACATGGCAGAACAGCCCCTGGATAACACAGGAGTTCAGAGGAGCAGGGAACCACACCTAGTAAGGTGGGGTCAGGAAAGGCTTCACAGAGGTCATTTCTAATCTGGACTCCATGAAATGAGAGGGTTTCTACTGAGTAGGTAGGAGGGGCCTGGCGGAACAGGAACACCAGAGTCTGGATCTAGCCATAGGCCCACCTCTGCCATTTCCTCCTTGGGACAAGGACCCAGCCCCGCCCTGGCTCCCGGCCTGGTCGCTCTCTAGTCCCTGTTCGCTGTCGTCCCTTCCTTCACTGGAAATAGTAACACGCTCCTGCCTCCATTTCCTCACCACCCACCTATCCTCGATCTTGTGCAATCTGGCTCCTGCCCCGTGCACAGCGGAAACCCTTCTCTTGACAAGCTCCCCTCCCTGAGTCTAATGGCCTTCGGGCCACATCATTCTTGGCCTTTCTGCAGCATCCATCATCGCTGGTGACACCTCCTGCTTGCAAATGTCTGCTCCTTTGGCTGGCTTCCTTCCCTGTTTCCACCCCCACCCCGCCCCTGCCATCTAAACTTGGCCTCCTTTTGTTTCATAGACATTAAGTAAGGTCATGTCTGCCAAGTGCCAGCCCGGCACCTGGCATGTGGTCATTGCTGGTTTCTGCCTCCTGCTCCTTCTCCCTCTGCTGGCCCCTCCTCTTCCTCCTTCCCTACATGGGAAGGCCTGTCTCAAGGTGCAGCCCTCTCTCTCCTCTCTTCTCTGCTCTGAAGTCTAATTGTCCAAGTTGTCTCATCCCTGCCTCTTAGGAGCTGAGACCTTGGGCAATTTATTTAACCTCGCTGACTGACCCTCATTTTGTTTTTTTTTGTTTTGTTTTTTTTTGAGTTGGAGTCTCACTCTGTCGC